TTTGTGGTGAACATGCATCTGGTTGTCAGTTAGAGCAGGAGGGGGGGGGGTCGTATCTGGACCCTCTTCGAGGGGGGGTCGTACCCACACCGCCATTTGACACATCCCCATGCTGTACCCTGCTCCCAGAACTGAAAGTTGTTTTCATCTCGCTAGGGCGAGCTTTGAACTGTACCAGATATCCTTAGTTCCGGTTCAGAATGAAAGAGTGGTTACTGATGGGGCGTACATTCACTAGAAAACAAACAGGGTTCACGAAGCGTGCCAGGGTACGCCATCACGTTGTGATAAATTTCTAAAAAATACGACCCCCTGAATTCTATCCTCAAATACGACCCCCCTACATAACACTTTCCTAGATTTTCCCAACTTCCTACCCATTTTTCCAGTTTTTCCCGAAAACACCAGTGAAACGGGAAAAACCGCAAAAAGCTAAAAACCGGGAAAAGTTTTTCCCCCAAAGCGCAAACAGCTCTCAAAGACGACGCCCCAACCCCTCTCCCGACAACGACCAAATACGACCCCTCCCTCCCTCGCGATCAAATACACCCCCCCAACCCCTCGTTGTGATTATCACAACGATGGTGCCCTGGTAGGAAGGAGTGAAGGCGGTACCCAGCGGCCTATGACACCCTTTGATGTTTATTGACATCAGGGCACGTCCTGGCGCTAGGGAAAATTACCGGAATATACCACTTCCCCTTACTCCTTCCTCCGATACGACCCCCCCCCTCCCCCATCCTACTTTAGCTCAGACTTTCCCAACTTCCTACCAGTTTTTTCCTAAATTTCCCGGAAGTTCTCCGGTTCCCCCGCCCCCATCCTCCTCACCCCAAAATGTTGCTGTCGAGCTCGAGGATGGGTGGGGGAGGGGGTGGAGGAGGGGAGGGAGAGATCGGCAGCAACCAACTGCTAGTTTCAACTATCAGGATGTAGAGAACGTTGAAAAGGGGGGTGGGCTAATTTCTCCCAAAGGCAAACACGGCCCCTTCTCTATACTAACAACGAGCAAATGCGCCCCTAAGGCGTACGTGAAACAAGAAAAATCAACTACCATGAAAATTTTACAGAAAAACGACCCCTTCCCCATAGCTGTGGATTCTCCAACGTACGACGTGGTCTCATTGATATACACATTACCGTCTCGTCACGTTTTGTCTTGAGTTCATCGTGATCACACCAGAAAATTGTACTGTGAAGAGTACATTGACATGTTCCTATCTCGCCACGTGGTGTTTTGTCCTCACTCGTCAATTACTGTTCAGGACACTGTCTCTGTGAGGGGCACAGACAAGCAAGCGTGACGTGGCACGGTCGTGCCCCAAAGTAGTCGCTCTTCACTCAGTTTTATACCGACGAAGGAGTGTTTGAATCGCAAGAGAGAACCAGGGAAATAACTATAGAAAAGAAGAGTTCTGCTGTTAATGAGAAACCGTAGGGGCGGGTCGTACTGAGGGGGGGGAGGGCTAGCACCGAAAAATCACCCACTATATATAATTTGCTTCGTCTGTTTGTTTGTTTGTTTGTTTTGTTTGTCTGTCCGGAAATTCGGTTCGACCTGAAGAACAACTTGGAGAGGTCGGGTCAAGGTGGGGATGGGTGGGGCAAGATGTAAATAGCACCCGTGACCCATGGTAAGCCCCGCCCACAGTGGGCGGGGCATGCGCCGAAAGTTGGCGGAACCGCAGAAAAACTCATAACTCGCTTCAGAGCAGCCCAGAGATGGATAAAAGTGGAATAAGGTTAGCAAGGGGTTGTCGAACCAATTAGGGGAGACATACCCGAAATGGGCGGGGCGTCCTTGAGATAGGCGGTGCTTCCCGAGAAATTCATTAACTCGGTTCCCGAGAGTTTAGAAATCGCAAAAAAAGTCGGTGGAGGGCAACACCTGGGGAGAGTTCGGCATGCCTGAGGTGTGTTGAGACTGTTGAGGCCCGTCCACAGTGGGCGGAGCTTGCTCTCATTCATAGGGTGCACACTAAAAAAACTTGCAGCTTGGTTCCAGAGCACTCCAGGGACCGGAAAAAGGTCAGCAAAGGGTCGCCGATTGAGAAATGTGGAGGCACACATGTTGTGGGCGGTGCCAGCCCGAGGTGGGCGGAGACAGACAAAAGGGTTTGCAAAACGATTCCAGAGCACCCGGAGACGGGAAAAAAGTAGATTAATGTCAGCAAAGGGGTCGCCGGTAAAGAATGTGGGAACACATGTTGTGGGTGGGACCAACCCGAGGTGGGCGGAGACAGACAAAAGTTCTGTAAAACACGGAAGTGGATGGTCAGGAGGGATCACCGTTGATGAGGCACACAGCCGTTGTAGGCGGAGCGTGCGGCTAGGCGGCGGAGCCAAATGCAGAAAAATAGAATGGTTCCATAACAGACTCCAGGCACCGGCAAAGACGAGCAAAAATGTGCAGGAGCTCCGCTATTGAAGCGAGATTTACGCGCCCATTCTGTGCGGAGCTGTGTCGATGTTGTGGGCGGGCGAAGGTCAAAAATTCACGAATTAGTTGCAGAGCAGCATAGGCACCGGGGACAGGTGGATTGAGGTCCACAAGGGGTCAGCGGACGAAGTGGAGGAGACATCTCAAAAATGGGCGGGCTGCTTTCGAGATGGGCAGGCTCTTGCTGAAAAATTTCGTGGTTCGCATCTGAGTGAGCTTGGAGATCAGGAAAAACTTTTGGTGAAGAGAAACATATGGCGAGAGCTCAGCATGTCTGTGGTGTGTTGAGACCCGCCACAGTGGGTGGAGCGTGTTCTCAAGCACGGGGTCCTACTTTCACTGCGTTTTAGTGCATAGGCCGCCACACTCTTGAACACCTGTTGTCACACGTACATTTGATACCAGTCGGTTCGCTGGCTGACGCCGGCGCGACTCCTTTTCTAATACGGCCAGGCTTTGCCGGTTTTGCTTACTTCGTCGCGCCCACCTGCTTGCGTATGTTTGAATGCTCAACTAATACCCAGTTTCTCTCTCATCTGCGCCCTTGATCAAC